AACTTTGATTGCGAAATTTAGTTGCCGCGGGAGATCGAACCATCAAGGTATCATTCACCACTTTTTTGATACTACTAAAACCGTTCAGCGAAAACGAAACATGGTTTTGTGGTCCATCTACAGCTGCAAGAAACCGTTTCCAAAAAGCGCGGCTCGCCCTGGAAGATCCCCCTTGCTAGAATTCCTCCCTTGTTGCTGATAGAAGCAAAAGCCGAGTCGCGATTCGCTAGTATCGCTTCCCATGGTTTCCCCGGGTGTGTTGATCCTTACTGCCTATAGCCACCCTGACCCTCCCACACTTGCTCTCCGCATTGACTAGGCCGATGTCATAGTTTGCGAATCGAGCGATTCGCTAGCGAATCGCTGGATCCGAGCGCGAATCGAACGTTGCGCCAGCGAATCGATTGCACCAGCGAGTCGAACGATGTACCAGCGAGTCGAACTAGGTACCAGCGACTCAATAGTGGCGGGACCCAACGTTCAAAGGAAGCCCGCCACTTTCAAACAGTGTCACGTGACAGTGGACACTGTTTGAAAGTGGCGGGCTTCCTTTGAACGTTGGGTCCCGCCACTATTGAGTCGCTGGTACCTAGTTCGACTCGCTGGTGCATCGTTCGATTCGCTGGCGCAACGCTCGGATCCAGCGATTCGCTAGCGAATCGCTCGATTCGCAAACTATGACATCGGCCTAAGCGGGAAACCGCAGCCACTGGTGGCATCGATGAAGCAGGCGTCGCCAGTCGATATACTACTTCTTCGCCTGTGTGATCGTCTGGATAGCTTTGCTATTGTATTGCCCTATCGCCCGAATATAGTTTAGCGTCTTTGCCTGCCTACCTTTCTAACCATTCCGGCATATTGCCCCAGTTCAGCAATGCTTACTAAACTTGTCAAGAGTCCATACCGTTTCTTACTCGAAACAGACAACGGCCTGGCTGGTCTTGCTGTGAATGCTACCTAGGGCATGGGCCCTTAGAACCAATCAGTCAGTAATCCCACTACTCAGCTGCAAGTCCACTTCGGAAGTCTTCCAGTTGACCGAGGACCACTCCAGGTTAATGCGATGTAGGCAACATGCCCGGAAAAAGGTTTGACATGACTATTAGAGTAACCTAGTACTAAGAGCTTTCTTGAGAAAACAATAACTAGCTCAGAAAGGAAGATAATTACTATGGTGTCGCTCAGTGTATCAAGATAACACCTGTCGGTGGAATATCAGCCAGTCGATGCCAGCGCTCGAAGTGCATGATATCTGTTTGTACGTCATGGTTCATTAGTTAGCTCAGTGGGTTCTTGGAAGTCAAGAGACGTGGAGGTGAATGCGATCTAGCAGGAGAAGGGAAGAATCACCATGGGAGTTCGATTCGCAACAGGCCGTGTCAAGCGGAATATCCACTTCTACCAAATCCGTGCTCTGTCATCGAATCAACTTTGAAACTTGATGTTTCAAAAAATTGTCTTTTGCGCACGAAAGACTTCAAGTTCATTCATGGGCGGAAAATATGGAAGGCATCAACTGTATCAAGACACCACGGCGAAAATTTCGGAATTCTCGCACAAAGCTAGAGCCGACTGAAATGAGGCTCTCTTGGAGGCCTCTTCCCAAATTTCATCAGAAAAAAGCAAAGGTGAAGATAAAGACAGACAGATGCTAATGCATAGCAAGCAAACGTGAGCTTTGCTTCATTGGCTAGACTGCTCTGCAAGCAAAAATCGGCCCATTTTCGACATGGTTCCTTGCCAGAGATGATGCCTATAAACAACATTTCCACTTTTCCATTCCGAAATTGTTGAGCACGCCGTGGATTGGTTCCATGGTGTCATTGCTTAGTTTAGCGGTTTTTGACCTTTTTCAAAGCCCGATAGTATTTTTATTATCTGTCCTCGAGGAATAAAATGTTATCATGACAAGTTTTGCGAAACTGATCTGAAAAGTAATAAATAACAAGAGGTGGAATTATAATTTTGGGACATCGGTCTTTTACACAAGAAATTGGAGAAATTACCGAAGTTTTATTATTCAAAATTGAAGTTTTATGCTTGTAAGCAAAGTCGCAATTGAATTCAACACACTGCAGCAGCCGAGACTTTGTATTACACTAGGTTTGTCATCCCGGTAAATTTTTGGGTGGAACTCTGATAGGATATACAGCGTAGATCCCCCAAAAGCACCGTTCCAGCTGCTGATATCACATACTGTCACACACTTCGAGCAGGTCTGTGGTGCTCCTCATTTTTCCTTCTTCTTTCACTACCGTTGGCAAATTGACGAACTGGCGCTGGGTGAGTTCACACACAAGGGCGAATCAATCAAACGAATCAACAGCGGTGATAGACATAGATTTGCGAGTGGAAGTTTGTTAGTTTGTTACAGCGACTTTAAAAGCAGCGCGGATCTATAGAAAAAGCCTTAAATCTATAGAAAAAGTTAGCAAACTGACAAACTCATACAAAGGAGATTTTGTTCACGCTATTATGAATCCCTGTTTAAGTAACCAATTAGTACCTCTGTCGTGACTTTCGCACGACTTCTTCAAAGGTCGCGCCTGGTAGGGTGCGCGCGGGTCTCGCGCTCGTCCGGTCGAAGGTTCTGGAAGCGGGCAGAGAAGCAGAGCTCGCGTGCCGCCGCAGTCAGTCAGTCTTCACGTCGATCTCGCCGAGTCTGGTCGTTGCGTTTCTCGCTCTTACGTCGTAGTCCTGCTGTTCGTCGTGCGTCGTCGCCTTGGTATCCATGCGTTGAGCGATGATGGAGCAATGGAGCAGGACGGGCATGGATGCCCGAGATGGACCGCAGGACCGCTACCACGTCTCCCCCCGTAAGGACTGAGCACTGGGTTCGACCCATGAGTTCGTAGGTCGTGGTTTTCCAATTCATAGAAGTGTTACATATTCATTTCATAGTTATTGCTCATAGTAGAAAATATGAATCTATGGTTTTTATTTGTGTGTTATTTACTAAGTCCTCAAACGGTGATTCCACCGTTGTGTATCTGTTTACACGCGTTCGAGCTCGGTGTGTAAAGTAAGAGCCGTTCGTAGGCTAGGCTTAAAGGATGCCGTCGTAGGCCGCAATGGCCGCTATTCAAAAGGTTGTTGGCATGGCGTAGGTCAGTAGGTGTAGGTAAGCAGCGTTAAACATAGGGGCTGCTAGGCCTTTTGGTATATTACCCCCGCGTGGACAGTGGCGAGAGCGGGCGCAGCGTAAGTCCCCGATCGTACCCTCACGCCGACATGAACGCCGCTCCTAAGCAGGGTGAACCCCGATGCTTCTGAGCTTATGCGAGGAGCAAGGCGTCCATGCCGGCGCGACATGGTGCATCGGACTGGGGTTCAACGTGTGGGAAACCCACGTTGGGCCTTAGTGATCGAGCCTAACCCGCGCTCGCCGCTAGCCAATTGCTTCGCAGTCGTAGAGCAGTGCGCATGGCATGTTCGAACGTGTATGTCAATTCATAGGCGTTGCTATATAGGGCTACCCTGGTTTTTCTCGTATGGTGGGACCTTGGTTCTCACCTACGCGAGGGGGACCCCTGTGAGTGGCACCCGTACGGACGGGAATCAGTTGCGACGGTGCAGTTGTTACTGTACTAGAGTCCTCCCGGGCATGGACCTGTTGTTTTTCCCAGGCATGATCCCGTGTTGCTGTTATACGCTAATGCATATTGCATATGCCGCAGATTTCGTCGTGTGTACATAGCATTCCTGTTTATCATAGTGCCCTTTATGCATCACCTCTCTGCTCCTTAACCCCTTGTATTCTCACATGCCATTCATTCGTTAATTCATCGCGGTGTCTCTTACCTGGCCAGCGTTCGCCATACACTCCCGTTTGCCGCCGTAGGGGGCTAGTGGCCAATAGCCACTGTCCGGCACTACACATTCATTGTAGTTAGTTTTTAGATTGGGTGCGGCAGTACCACCTCCTGCCACGGTTCAAAATGTCTATACTCGGTGCTAGTAAGGCCAGCTTAACCAAGGCAATTACCAATTGGGAAACCGTAAAAGGTAAGATCCCAGCATCTGTATTCCAGTCGGTAGATTTTCAAAGTAGTGGGTCACTGCAGGCGCTTGAGCTACGTCGAGCTACAATACAATCCTATTTACGCAAGTTCGCGCAGCTTTCAAGCAACGCTCACGGAGAAACGCCAAGCGTTTTTAGACGTGGTAAGAGTTTTAGTCTAATGAGGGCGAGAACAGCGACGCCCAAGAAATTTCTGCTCAGGAATCTCGCGTAGATGGCGCTATTGCGACAGCTGAATCAATAATATCGTCACTTAGCTGTACGTTTAAATGAAGTTAATACGCTCATTGACACCAATCAGCTCAAGTCGCTTTCAGATACGACACAACCTCCACCCGTACGCAATCAAGAAGATCAACGGGAACATACGCCAACGCCGTCTTCTGCGAGTGACACCACTCGTTCGTATGTACTGCCACAGCGTACAGCCGACGCGCCTAGTTTGTCGCCGTACTACACGTAGTACAACCCCGCAACCCAACCCCTGCAGCCAACATCCTTAGCGCAGCCTGCAATACAACATGGCAAGCTCACGCTCGAGCCGTTCACAGGTGATATCACAAAGTTTCACAGATTCTGGTGCGTTTTCGAGCTCGCAGTGCATAATGACCCTAATACATCATCAGTATATAAATTCTTGTACTTACAAAGTTTACTTCAAGGCGAGGCCCAGGTAGTACTCCAGGACCTTGACCCCAACGAGTGCAATTATCTTGAGTTGGTGAGGGCTTTGAAGAGGCGCTACGATCGTCCGTATAAGACTCGTGCGACTCTTCATAAGCAACTTCAGCAACTGCCTACAGCTCGTAACAACGGTCAGGACCTGCGTAGTACCTGGTTTCGCATATCCGGTATTCTCCATGGTTTGCGAAGATGTGAAGATTTCCGTACGGTGTTGCCGCTCCTTGACTTAGTCAAGAGCAA